TCTGTTTTGTATACTTGTATAAATAAATAATGTCTCTACAGTTTTATAAACATTTTAACATAACCTACTTATGTTGACTTAATTTACAAGCGTATATAAATAGTTTATATCGTCCCCTGTCAATGTACTGTAATGTATTTTTATAGTTTGATAGAGAATCTCATATATCGTATCATATAACTTGGAAGGAAAATAACTTATTTTCGACGACATTGTAAGGTACGCCTATTGTTCTATTAAGGGTTATAGGATTGTAATTATAAAGTAAGTTTTTAATAATGTATACAAACGGCCTAGGAACAGATTTAAATTTTTAACATAAATTTAAATTTATTCAGGTGATAAATAAACTAATGATAAACTTAAAACAATACATAGGAACAATTTGCTACAATTTAATGCAGTAGCAATTTAGTCTAGCAACTTTGTGATTTCTGTACGATAAGTAGCTATTGCTTGAAAATGTGCAATGACTGACTAAGTTTAAGCGAGGGTGACACGTCATTAAAACATTTAGACGAAGCAAACCGAAAGCTTCGCTTGAAGAAATGTATCCGAGGAATTAAAGGAAAAAGGCACAATTCGATCGCCAAATACTCGTATAACAGACAAGTCAATTTAATCTACGTCTATTGGACACATTTAAAAAGTCAAAAGGATTAAGGAAAGCGGTAATATAAGAGCGTGCACGGACTGCATAGCAAAATCGGATACAAGAGATCTGCACCCGTTTAATCTTCTCCGTATTCTTCAGTAAACAAGGCGCGTAGACTACATCGCAATAATCCAAATTAAACAATTCTAGGGCATCACATAGTCTAAGCCGCACTGATTTACGTATTTAATTATTACTTATTTATTTAGCATTGACTATATAGCCGTCAGCTTAAACAAGCAAGAAACAGTTAAGAAACTCAAAACGTATTAATACTTACAACTAAAATTAATTTGAGGAAAAAGCTGTAACTACAAAAACTCGCCATTTTTTCTTCACGTATTGAAAAATGGTCTTAGTTTATACGGCTATTTTAGCGATGCATAACAGGTGGCAATTTGTGTGTGTGGCTCAAATTTAAGTATGCCATCCATTACAAGGCTTAAATTGCGCATATTAACAGATCCGTTAATTTGCTGACCCTCAATCGTAATAACCGGATTCGAATTATGTACTGGCTCTATATGATGCCTGTGTTCTTAAATGGTCATTGGTACTAGTACCAATGCAAGAACACTTCCCAGCTTTTACCAATAGGCTATTTTTCTTTGACCATTCAACTATAGACACTAGATCTCCATTGAGCAGTTCTATATACCGATCGATTTCGTGTCTATCAACATTTAGTGTCACGAGTAATCGAGTGTCACCTGCGTACATGTGCGGTAAGGAGATACTTATCGTGGGTAGGTAAGTAAGTTGTATAAATTGAGTATAGCGTCGGACCGAGCACAGACCCTTGTATCACTCTGCCGTCCACTAACTAGAACGCGGCTAGTGACAAATGGTAAAATATCCGATTTAAATAGAACAAGATAGAGCACAAATAATAAAATTAGTTAACGTATTCGATTTATCGGAGCTTACCCTAACGATGCATAGCTGAAATATCATTAAACAATCTCAATATTCTAAAACTGGGTTATGGGTATTTACGATATCTCAAAAAATGATTTTGTCAGTTCGCCGTGTTTTAAGTTAGGGGACGGCAGCTCTCCTTTATTAACGGCTAGAGCAGTCGATGTTGTAATTCCAAAACTTTGGAGATCACATTCCACTATTTGTATTCGACCATCAAAATAGCTTGTGACCCTGAACATACTTTATTTTCACGGCCATGTAAATCTAACTTTCTTATTAAAATGGTTCTGACAAGACTGTTAAACGCGCGACTTTAGAGCTGACAACGGTTTAATATGGCGCTGGATGAAGAGGTACCGGGTTCGATTCCCGGTAGGTTCAAATTGGGAAATTAACTTTTCTAAATTGGTTTTGGTGTGGGTGTTCTGAGAAGTGCCCCGGAATAAATTCCGTTGCTCTGGTACTCATAATACAGGGAATTCTCTAGTTTCGAGACCAGGCAATCGGTGTTGTTGTGTCACACAAAAAGAAAACCAAGAAGCAATTATTGACTTTTTTTAATTGCAGTATTCTTTTTGCCTAATGGTATCTGCTTTGATTGTCTTTTGAAGCAGCAAGAGATTCATCCACTACGCGGACAAGAGCTCTTGTCGTCTTGCATTTTTTCCTGAATCCTGACTAACACTATGGCATTATCTTAATAGCTTCCAAGTAAAAGAGTAACCCAGATTTAACAGCCTTTTCCAAAATAGAACGGGTTATAGATATACATATATGTATTATACCCATAAAGAACGCAACCTTTGACAAATTAATAGTTGTGACCATAGGATCTGAAGAGCCAGAAACGTTAGTTTATTAAAAAAAAAATTATTCGCAAAAAAAAAATTCATTTCCAACTATAATTTAACACTTAATTTACTTACCTCATAGTCTCATACATTGGCCGGAAAGCAAAAAGCGGCAGGGTATAGATGCGGACCATGACAGCTACAAATCCGACGTAAAGCAGAACTTTAAGGAAGTTGATAGCCAATTCTGTGTACAGCAGTACTGCCGCTTTACTCTCCCATGGGGCTTCCCAGCGCGAGTCGATGGCATGGAGTACGTACTGTGAATTTACAGTTTAGTTAGTGAACATATTTCATTCGTTTGTTATAATTATTAATACAAAGCTCGAACACTCAAAAAAAATTCCTTCGATCCAGCCGGATTCGAACCGGCGTCTTCTAGCATACCGTCCCAGATGCTATACCCACTAAGCCACGGAACGAACAAGCGGACATCACGAATGTGCATTCTATGTGCTTGCGTCGTACGATAGATACTCATTACAAATTTTTCTCAATTTTCATAACTATCACACCAAACCAGTATAGGTGCATTCCCATTATGTCATGACGACATATAATCGTGCAGTTTGAAGTATCGTGGTTGTATATTTAAATGAATTTGTTCACACACAACAACACGATTGACTGTCATTTCCGACGATAAATAAAACGTCACGATAAAAATGTGACGACAAATAATCGCATCTTCAAACGATTATGTCGTGCAACAGACAAGGCGGCTACCGTGAATCGATAGATTGTCGTCACGATCGCGTGGGAACAGCTAGACACGACAGCCGTTCAACGATAAATAAAACGGTACGACATAATGGGAACGCGCCCGTATTGCCGCTTAAAGATTATCAAGTTTAGAGTTAAGTACCAGTGCATAAGTTTTTAAACTAGTTGTTTGCATTATACACATGACACGTGCGTAGCGAGACGGCTCGCTCATTTGTCCTATGTAGTCGAAAGATAAAGTGATAAGACGAATCGTGACTGGACGTTTCCACGACACAATCACGACAGATAGTCGTGATATGGGAACAGGCTAGACACGACAGTCGTCCAACGATAAGTAAAACATTACGACATAATAGGAACGCGCCCTTGTGGTAGGTCGTTATATGCAGCCGGTGGGATGTTTTATACTTCCCTCTTTATCATAATCATAATCGACATTTTTAGTAAAATTGAGTTATCAACCTGTCTGGAATAAGAGAAACGATATGTACAAACCCACACAATACGAGTGCAGTATAGCCTAACGAATGGTTGTGACGTCGTCGTGTCACGGCTGCGACATTTTTATAGATACGCAACGATGTCTTCATGTATTTCAAAGAGTGAACAAAATGCGTTGTTAGTGGTGAGAGTTCATGCATCCAGTTCACGAAAGATAGGATTTAAAAATACCTTTTATGCTTATGTAGTGGTATCTAGGTGTAGACATATAGTTGCAACTGCTTCGTGATTGCAAAATGGAATGCAGTTGAAAAGTAGATAAGATGCAGTTGGCGCAATTGCACTTGTGATGCAGTAGCGATTCAGTTGCCGTGCCCACAGTATCCAAACTGCTTTCCTATTGCGTTTCAATCGCTATTTTGCAATTGCAGTGCAGTCTGAGTGCAACTCGCGTGTCAATCGAAATTAAATATTTAACGGAAGATGACACAAACTTTATTTGCCTATTGCGGTTGGCGATACGCCTAATACCGGGCCAGTCTTCAAACTACATTATTAAAACAAAAAAAAACTTACCTTGATCAAAATGTTGGAAATCATAATGATCAAAATGCTATACTCAAAGCCAAACACTAGTTGCACTGAGGGTCCTTTTGAAGTTGTGAACTGATATGCATGGTGAATGAAATATATATCCGCTTGGGCCAGGAGACCGAGCAGAGTCAGTATTCTCACGTGGAACAGCCATCCAATGACTGGGCTCCTTTCCATCTGACAAAAAAAATAGTTTTTACTTTTAGACTGCATAGTGGTAGATGTGATTTCCTACATCAACGTTTAAATTGCCAGTAGAGGAAAATGGTTCTTCAAAATAGAATGAAATTACAATGTTATGTTCCATATATTATAATGTGCATTTATTAAATGAAATATGTTTAAGTAGGTTTTCGCTTACAATTATGACTGTACTACATGGCTTTGTAAATTAGCTGCATTGCAAAAAATGTAATAATTTATCAGGAAAATGGTTAAAATATTCTGAAGAGTCTCTGACGAATCGTGACCCTCCCAGGAATAATCGGGTCCGGAAATACCGGGAAATCCCGATGGCGAGGTGGCATAAATCTCAGTACTGCAATTATAGATACCCGGTAGTCTACCACCTGGTACACAGTAGTACCAGGTAGACGAAATTATTGCGTCAAGTATAATATAGAGGGAAAATTCACGTTTCAAATGTTATTTGTACTTTTTCGTCATATTTCAATTTACTTTTATCTTATTTAAAGTGAAAAATATAGTTTTTGTATTTCATTAACAGAAACAACAATGGTAAGTATCGATTGACGAAATGAGATAGTATAGTAAAATAAGTTAAATGTGCGAGCGAGACGTTCTACCGGTTATATGCAGGTAGCACCTGCAGTTCAATACGTGGGATTTTACTAATTTTTGTGGTTATTTTTATTTGACGTTGTACCGGGAATACCAGTACCGAGTAGAGTCCAGTACCAGGAATGAAAATTTTAAGAACGGGGCCGGATCTGCATGCTCTAAATTCGTGACGTAGGACGAAACTTTAACCAATGGAAAACTCGGTGTCACTATAAAATTGAGCACCTTATGAATACAGCTGTGTAATCTGTCAAAAAATTAATTATATTTGTTTTGGCCACTATTCATGAAAAGCAATGTATAATTGTCATATTTACCAAAGACACATGATGCAAAAACGTGTACTTTTCGTATAAATACTTTAAAAGTGTTCAATTAATACACATTCATGGGATATTGATTTTGAATAAGTGGTGCCTCAAATTTGGGAAAAGTAGGGTATTACACTGGAATTCTTATAATGGAAAATAGTTACGATTTCTAATCGAAAGTAAACTAATGCTTTGTTTGTCCACTTATTAAAAGTTATGAGCTTGAACTTATACTTTTTGCGGCAAGGGTAAACTAACTCACATAATCAACTCTATCCTCGGCCAACCAATGGAATGCTTTCAGGAATAGAAGCAAGGTGAAGAGTGCAATAAACTTGGGGTTAAAATCATCCCTGAACACTGTGAACGCCAGGCATGTCTCTGTTATTGCATACCAGGATCTCTCTATTAAGTGCTGCAACAAAATTAAACAAATCAGTTATATTACAACAATTTATACTAATAAATTCTAAGCAAAAACATTATATACAACTAAAAGCTATTTGTAATTTTACTGACTCATTAATAGATATATCAAAAATGGAAAGCTATTTTTTCTAACTTTCCGTTTCAAATGAGTTAACTTAAACAGATTGCATTTCAAATGAATTAAAGATACAAAATTATTACCTTCATTAAAGCGTGAAACACACAAAGAGCGGGTGCGGGTCGGGTCAGAACGCGGTCCCGACCCGACTTGCGCCCGACTCGCACGTATTTCATGCTTAAGTAATAAAAAGTTAATAGTATAATATATGTTATTACTTACTTATAAATATATATCAAATACAGTTCAGTCATCAGGAATACAAACATTGCATTTAGGAGTAAAAGTATGCAATACATTTTTAAAACTGTTGTGTTATTGTGAGCATTGCATAAAACTAGTAGAAAATATTAGAAAATAGAACTAATGACAATATAAGGATGACATCAGGTAGTAAAGTAAGGCCCAGTTCAGATGAAAACTAGGTGATTACTCATGAATAAAATTAGTGTAGTTGTATGCCAGTATTAACACAATGCTTGTCATGTGAACTGGTTCTAACACTGAGATGGTCGCTTTAGAATATAGAATATAATATATATAATAATAGAATATAGATTATTAAATTATACAAAATACCTACAGGTAATTTGAACTGGGCTATGAGCAAAATACTATTAAATAGTTTCATGTAAACAAACAGAATTGATCTTATTAAAAGCATAAGCAGTTGAGTTAGATATTCATGTAAAGCATAGGATTGTGTCATGTTGCTATGTAGTTATGACACAAAAGAGTGTAAAATATACCAGGTAGCTTCTAAGACTGAGAACCTATGAATTGTATGCCACAAAAGGATATATTGTACTTACAATGTGTATCAATTCAATAATATAATTAAGAAAAAAAATTTCACTAATAATAACAATTCTCATTCATTTATATTCAGATTTGACATCGGACATGAAATGGAAGAATGGCACTTGAAGTTAAGTCAAAAACGTTTATTGCTCCATTGGATACAAAAAACATAACCCACATCCTCCCCAATTTTTTAAACTCTATTGCTTGGCAATAGAGTTACAAAAATAGGAGAGGATGTGGGTTACATTTTTATGTATGTTATGGAGCAATAAACATGTTTGACGTAATTCCACTTGTGCCATTCTTCCATGAGGGGTGTGTTTTATTATATAGACAAGTTCTAGATAGGCTTGTAATACAGTATAATACTATGAGTACAAATAAAAAGATATAAAACAATAAATACCAATAATAATAATAAGTCCTAAAACCTATTAATACATATTGCAGTTTAAGAAGTCATAAGGAGTCCATTACAGAAAGCAAGTCTTACAACTTAACACATTAAAGTGCAGTAATGGTGTGACAATATAGTGACATCACCTTGTGATTACAATTTTAAATACCTCTCAATGCAAACAATAATGATGAATAAGAATAATAAATGTATTTTTTCACTGTTTTACATTATTAGTGGCTCTATTATTAATATTATACATCTGTACAGGTAGCCATACCCTTTGGCTCAATGTAAATAACACTTATACAAAAGAAATAGCATAGCATTGTCTTTAGGCTTAGTGGAATTTAAAAAAATTTAATTTATGAAAATGCTAGGCTAAATAAAAAATAAATAAGGCAATAGCAAAGGCTATTTTGAAGAATAATAGAAGCTATCAGTGCAAAACTGGTGTAAAGCAAATTTTATTTTATTTCCACAATATTACGTTAAAAGGCAACAAAGTACATATTTCAATGTTATTTTCATATATAATAAATTAATAATTAGATATTTTCATATATGTGAAAATAGCATTGAAATATAAAATAATTATATACTTTAATATAATTTAAAATAATATTAAATTAATATCACTAATTTCAGGTTTCTTACCACGGTATGACTTCTTTTTATTTATCGTAGCCCGATATTTCGGAACGGTTGTACGCTCCATGGAGAATAACCATGAAAGCCTTAAAATCTACATAAAATAATATTGTAAAAAAAATGTGAGTTATACCACTTCTATTCTGATAGCCTCAATTAAATTATTGGGTTAGGTTAGGAACATCTGGATCCGTAATTGATCCTTGAACCATAACAACAGATCTGTTTATGATTCAAGGGCAGAAGTAAAAGTGATATGAAGCTACAAAATTAATATACCTGAACTGCACAACAAATCAAGAGTATTGTTGTTTATGTATTGTTTAAGTTCTTACCTCAAACTCCGCAGGTCTCAATTGTCCAAAGAAAATCTTCCTCAGTACCTTGCCAATGAGCAACACTAATATAAAGGCTTGCAAGTACATTACCTGCAAATAAATGTTTTATTTGCTGTATAGTTATAGTTCATTAGTATAAAATGTTACAATTTATATATTTAGAGACAGCTCATCTATTATAGATTGAAATTTGAAACGATTTCAATTACACCTGGAACTACGCCTGCTCAAAATTGGATCTTTCAGTGTTGGGACTTTTAAAGTTCATGTATACCGGAAAATGGCGGATTTTCACAGTCAAAAAAATAAATATATTATACTGAAATAGATGTACTTACAGCCATACTAGGATTAGAATTTGTTAGGTACACTATCGATGGATAAAACTGCTTCTTCTGGTAGTAGGCATTGCCTATAACCACAGTCGTAAGCGCAAGACTGATCACAGTCGCGACTAATGCCTTCATCTTCATTGAGCTGGTGTTATCACAAACGGTAAATTTCAAAACAAAGAAATTTCCCAGGCAAATTCTATGTGCTCCAAAACAGCCCAATTGTCAACAAATACATTTTCAAAACATCTTTTCGAATAACGCTAGAGCAAAAAAAACTAATTTTGACGTGTTCAATGTTCATTTGTGACATTTTATTAGTTTGTGTTGAATTATTATGGGATACAAACATTTGAGACAACTGTAAAAGAGCTACACAAAAGTATATTTTTACCTCTCTCTGGTTTCTTTAGTATACTTGTGTGTGTCAAAAAATATCACGAATAGAGTCGCGCCAACAGATTACAATAATTTTTACATGCTTGAATCAATTTTTAATATTTATGTTGTAGGTACGTTTTTTTATTGTACTTGTTACCTTTTTATGCTAATGGCTTTAGTCGCGCGATCATTTTAAGGGCTGTATTCTAGAACTATACTCAATGCTCTAGTCAGGAGTATGATGATTCAAGCACTAGAAATCATACTCAAGTCCTTGCCATTAGGGTCGTATTTCCAGTGCTTGAAATCATACTCGAGTCTGCTCAAGTCCTGACTTGAGCATTGAGTAGAGTATCAACTTTATTTATATCTACTTTTTCGGGGCCTTTTTATGGGTATCGAAATGAGTGTTAGATCATATAAAAGTTTTCTATTTTGAAAAAAATCGTATTTTTCCGGACATTTTTCCACGTTTGACGTTAATACCAAAAGTTGAAGTTAAGTTAGGTATTTTTTCTTTGTTATCCAATCCAATTGATAATTATTTTTTATTTCATTTTTTTACAAAATTATATTAATAATCACGTTAAATATAATTTCAAAAATATTCCTAAAGGAAGAACATAAAATGAGCGTTCTAATTATATTTTTCCATTTTTCCAATAATTTAGGTTTTCCGGAAAAATTTCCATCATTCGAAATTTGTCGGAAAATTACTAACCGAATTGAGTGGGGTTGCCAAACAAATATAATAAATGGAACTTGACTACGTGAGTGATTTTTTTTCTTATAGTAACAATTTATGCTTATGTCATTTGAGGACTGGAAGATGGTGTTTGCTCGATTTCTTTCTTTTATTTATTGAATTATTTGATGTAAAAATGAACTTGGTTTTTGTGTTAATCTCGTGTTATTATCGGTATACATAAAGCTACACATCTATATAGTGATTCAAAGGTTCGTATGGGGTCACTTTCATTTGCCGCGCAATCTACTTTCATATTCACTCCATTCGCTTGGTGCTTGTAATCAACTGTGGTAAATGAGCAATTCTCGTTCTAGTTATGTTTATTTATTCTTCGGTTATGTGCTGTTTCAAGAATTTCATGTGCCGCTGGCGCATGTTCAGCGCTCGGCCAGTAGCGTCACTCAAGCAAAAAAATTATTCGTTTACCAAATTAGCCCCGTTATTTTATAAAATTTAATTGTGAATATTTATGATCGTGAAAAATATCTTACTACGTCAGTAGTTCTAATGTGACTTGATTTTTTACAGATTTTACAAGCGTAAGAGTATATAAGTTACCCTAATAGCATGGTAAGTGTAGAATTGTTTTCTGTATACAATCTCATTGTTTTATACACTATTGTAATGCTAACTGTATTTCCAGCAGGGGGATGACCCTCCTTTCTTGCCAGTCGGCACAGATGTGAGTGCCAAGTATAAGGGAGCCTTCTGTGAAGCCAAAGTCAAGAAAGTTGAACGCAATATTAAGTGTAAAGTATGTAAACATAACTCACATATTATTTATCTCATATCTTCTTTATCTTTAAGGCTTCTTTAAGTCTTCTTTAAGCCTCATTCTGTTTGAATTGAATATTGGAATATACATACTATTGTAGTGTCCAATAAATTATATCCTAAGACAATGGTTTAAAATTGAGCACTGTTTCAAAACTAGAAACATTTTTATTCCTTAGATTATTGAAAAAATACAATCACTGTAAAGCTGTATCCATCACAACTACTAAAAATAGAACAGAGATGCCACTCCTTTTAATTAATATATTCTATTTGGGTAACAAAATGTCTCATGTATTATACTGTTGTCCAAATGGTCAAATATCCATTCTAAATAGCAAAAGGTAGAGCACAAAATTCTCTTTTATAAACATTTGAAATTAGTTAACGCTGTTGACTTATTGGAACTACCCTAACAATGCATAGCTGAAATATCATTAAACAAATTCAATATTCTATGATTTTTATGATGATTCAAAAAATTGTTTGTCACTAGCTGCGTTTTAGTTAGTATAATTCACCTGTGATTTGTTTTTTATTTATTTGGATTTGTTTACCAAATGAGGCTAATGTCACTAATACATTAACTCTAGTAATTAAAGTGTTAATTTAATGTCAGAATCCTAAAATCACTACAATAGATTTTCTGACATTAATTTATTTTATTAATACTTTCCACAGTACCATTAATAATTTAAGTACGAAAGTAACAGGGGTATTTACTGAAATAGTATTTTGGTACCTGGCTAACAATATCCTAAAAGTACCTATAATACTTTAAACCTATGTGACTTATATTAGAAGTGAATCAGAGTTTATAACTATGTCAATTATTTTCAAGGACTTATAATAAAGTTTGCATTTTGTTGCCTTACTTTCTCAAAGTCATATCTTAAAGCACAAAGTAACTGAAATGCAAAAAATGCTTTGTATAATACAAATTTGCAAGCTGATTTCACATCACATTTCCTTCATATTCACACACTGGCTTTTACCTATTCTTAAAGTAATTCAACCAAATTAACACCCTTGATAAGAAATTTCAAATAAATAGACATTTTTATCATCTCCTGAATAATCACTCTTTATATATAAGATATGTGTTTGAGAAAGTAAGACATCAGTTTGTTCTCTTTATGAATGCTGGTTG